TATCGTAAATCTAACTGTCTGTACTTGATTGTGTATTGAGTCTGAACTTCATGTTCCTGTAAAGTATTAGGTGATTCATGGGTCATTTTATTCGAATTTTTGTTCTATTCTTAGAGAATCATCTTCTATCGTCCTGATCGACCCAACGTCACAACCACTTGATCCAATATGCCTTCAATTATTGACGAAAATATTCATCCTGATGCGTCTGAAGAAGCCGCGAAGACAGCCAAAGCTCACTCTGGCAAGCATGAACTGGTATTTTACACTGGATGGTTTTGCCCATTTGCGCAACGGACGTGGCTGGCTTTGGAAGAAAAAGGACTCTCGTACGAGTATCGAGAAGTGAATCCATACAAAAAGGACAAGGAGTTTCTGGAGATTAATCCTCTCGGCTTAGTTCCCGCTCTCGTATACCATGGAAAAGCCTTGTACGAGTCACTGGTCCTTAATGAGTTTCTGGAGGATGAGTTTCCGGATGCCAAGCCACTTTTGCCGAAGGACAGTTTTGAGCGTGCACGAATCCGACTGTGGATTGACCACTTGGCGAAAAAGTTTACACCTGCGTACTTCCGGACTATGCAAGCTCAAGAAGAGGACAAGCAAAAGGAAGCTCTCAGTGAGCTCGTTGACGCCCTCAAAAAGTATCTCGATCAAGTCAAAGGACCTTGGTTTTCGGGTGAGGAATTCTCACTGGCGGATATCACCGTGGCTCCATGGATCAACCGTATTTACAGGCTCGAAGAACACCGAGGATTGACAGATGAACTCGTTGGCGGGCGTTGGCCAGAGTACAAAAGACTCATCAAAGATCGAGCCAGTGTGCTCAAAACGACGTCGGATCCACAGTATTATGAGGAGATTTCCCAACGATACCTGCGAAATGAAGCTCAATCCGAAGTTGCAAAGGCGACAAGAGCGGGAAAAGCATTACCATAGATACTCTCTTTTGATTATACACAGTACATATTACTATAGTGTTCTGATTTTCGATTGAAACTTAACACGTGCAATAAATTTAATATCACTTTCTTATATTCTCGGTATCTGTCGATTCTGCAACAGATGGCGTCGAGATTAAGCTTCAGTTCGAGAAATTTAGAACTCCAGTTTTTGGTGTTTTTGTAGTCATTCAAGCCAGATTCCGGTAAAACAGCTATTTGTCGAAAAACATTTTTATACTGAATTTTTTCACTCAAAACACATTTAAATGAAAAATATATAGGTGAAAACTATTTCTTCGAAAGACGTTTCGTCAAAACATATTTCACGAAATAAAAACATTTCGTCCAAAAGTATCCGCGATCTCTTACTTCTCTGCTCTTTCCTCTGAATGCAGCGTGCTATTTTGTGTGTACGATTATGTCTGCTCCTATCTTCTCTTGAGAATTAATTGAAGAGGTTTGCATAATTTTTCAAAAACACTAACTTTTCCAGAAATGATCTATAAAAATAAC